AAAAGAAAAAAAGAATAAAGAGGCTTAAAAAAAGATTAAGTACTAGAAAGACGTTGACAAGAATGAAGAAGGCTTTATTCTTGCTTTTATATATATTATCTAACTAAGAGTTATGTGGCAATATTCTATAGGACCTCCAACATGTGTTTAGCTAGCGAAATAGGTGTCAAACTTACAAGACAAGTTTCCTATATTTGTGCCACATGATTGCCTTGTACAATAAACTACTAATATGTGGGATACATGGTTAACTTCTTGCTCACGTTTGTAACCTATCAATTGACTACAAACATATGTATAATCAAATTTGCATCTATGAATCTTCTAAGAAGCTTTGCCATAAGATATTATCAGATCTTCCCACATTTAAATTCTACCTAAGACTTCTTATTTAGATAAATATGTATATCCATGATTAAAGGTCAAAGCCATTAAACTTTATGATAATTCATATTTTTATTTCTTATTTTATAAATTATTCATATTATTCAATTTTAAAATTATATAATATATTTTTATATTAGAAATTATAATATAAATAGGGATATGATATTGCTATTACAAATAGAATTCTTATGCAAATTTATAGAAAGAATTTTATGCTCTTTTGAAGAAGTTAAAGGTGGAGTATTCAATAACTTTCTTTATTTTTTTTATGTGATATGTTATATTAAAGTCTTTGCAAATATAGACAATTTAGTTAACATAAAAGATGCCATAATAAAGATATATGAACAAATAAGAGATTTGATGTTTTTTATGTATTAACTTTGTCTACCATATCAATCAGCATTAAAAATGAGTAATCATGAAGACATAGAGATAAATGAATTTTTTCAATAATTGCACCATTTAAATACTTCAATAAATTACCTAAGCTAGAAAACCGAAATTGGTTCTTTTAAAGAATTTAGATGGTATTAGATTCTAGATTTGATGATTCATCAATCAAAGATAATTTATTATGAAACTCCAATATCTTAATTATCTAATTTAATTATTTCAAGTTAGATTCTTTATAAATTTTACTTCCTAAAACTTTTTATTTTTTGTTCTTATTATTCTTAAAATAACAAGATCTTGTATTAGACAACTTAAGTGTATTTTTTGCAAATTTTGGATCTTTTCACAAAAAACATAATGCTACTCATATAACAACCAATAAAATCTAAATTTCACAACAAGAAAATTAGTTTGTGTCAACTTAAGCATCAAAAATTTGACAATTAGTTATTAATATTAAATTAAAAAAATGCTACATTCATCAACTAATTTCTTTGTAAATTATAATATAATGTGAATATATTATTCCTCAACTTGGTTTTTAATTTATGAATCAAGGTGTTGATTTTGTTATTAAATACAACAACCAAACTTTTAAAATATTAATCAAACTATTATATTTTAGCACCTAAATACTTCTATGATTTTGAAAAAAATAATTCTTTTAATGAATATATGCAATTAGACATAGAAGCTATGTAGATTGATACTATATGTTTCAAATTTCTAATTAAGAAAATAATTGACATCAACAAAAACAATTGTACCCATTTTGTAGAGAACTAAAACATATTGCTCAAAACTAACTTAAAAAGAGGTAAAATTACAATACAATGAATACAAATTTGAAAAAAGATAATACGTTAGAAAAAAAGAATGCTAATATATTGCAAAATTTCTAGCCTTATAATTGCACAATTGACCTTTAAGAAAAAGGCAAACCACTTTTTAAATAATTTATAACTTGTCATAGAATAAACTTGCTGATTTGAGGAATATATTGACAAATATTTTGCAAAGAAGTTTTTTCAACATTAAACATCTCTTGCAAGTGAGTCAATGGTTGTGAGTTCTGCCAATGCATTTCAATTGGTGATTTTTTTTAAAATAATATTTTAACATTGTTTAAATAAAAATAAATAAAAAAAGGTTTATCTGATTATCTAAGTATTGATTAAGGTTTTAAAACATTTATAAGTTAAGAAAGTCTCAATAAGAAATAAAATCATAATAGAAGTGTCAGAGCTCCTTTTCTGGTTTCCTTTTGTTTCCTCTTAATTCAAGCAACAAGTAGATCTCATTTGTGTCAAACAAACAAACGATGCACAATTTTGCGTTCCATCCAAAAAAGCAAATTTGGCAACCACATCTACTCTTTGATTTCAACGAAGACCACATGCTTGTTGTAGTAATTGCATTTGGGCACCATTCCGTGTGCAGAAAACTTTCCTGTGGAAACCAAGTGGGATGCCAACTATTCTGGGGTGGTTTATAATCGATTCAGAGCGTGCCCCCACCATCGTTGCATCCACGAAACGTAGACAGACCATATTGTTATTGGTACGTCACCTCTACCCTATTCCAGCCTTCAGTACGAGAATATGGGCTTAGACCCCCGATTTCAGTCGCGAATTTGGAAGTATGCGCTTCGATTGGACCTCCAACACCGAGAACCTGGAAAATCCCCACTTGTCCCGTGTAGCGAGTTCGATTCTTTCCACCCAAGCATGCTGGCTGTGTGGAGGGCCAGGGGCTGTGTGCCAGTTTCAGCTGGGCCACTCAGCTCGGAAGATCACATTCATGATCATGGATTCGTTCCTACGCAAGCTCCCTCTGATCAGACAAGATAAGTGTATGGTATTTTGTTGTGCCAGAAGTAATATTTTATATATTTAACCAAGTTAGTCCTATTTAAGGGAGTCGTCATATTTGATGGACAACGTCAGAAACCACAATTTTAAATTGAGAAGTTGGTTTTATGTATTTTTAAATTAGTTAAAAAGTTTAAAGAGGAAAGGATGAGGTGGAATATACTTTTATGTATAATTCAAAATTAAAATTAAAAACCATAAAAATAAATTCAAAATTAAAATTAAAAATCTCAATTTCTTTATGATTCTTGTGATTGTTGAATCGAGATACAAATTGAAATATTTAGACTTGAAAAAAAATGATTTAGATGATTTCATTACCTCTTTTACTTCATACTATATCCAAAAAAACAATGCTTCTAAAGGAGGGCTTTTCTTCACCAAGTGGAGGACCTTAAATAGACTTCTAAATCATAGTTGTTCAAAGTAGGCTTTTGTATATACAAACTTCTTTGGAAAAACATCCCTTAGAGCAAGATTTCATTAAGAGATTTTATTTAATCTATAGATTCAATCTATTCTTTGCTCTTTAATTTGGTACAACAAGCTAGATATTTTTTATTTTTTTATTTTTTTATTTTTTAAATAAATACTATAACATTTATTACAATTAATAGTAGAAAATAGTTTAGTGATTGTAGATGGATAGGCATATCTAGACTGTGAGATATATGATTTAAGTTCAAGCAACACCATTTCATTGTTAGAATTAAGTGTAAGGGGTTTTAATTTTGGCCCTCTTTATCCCAGTCATTAGACTATCTTATTTTTTTATTTTAATTCTCCAATCTTTGGTGCTGCTTGTCTTATTCCAACTTCTACTTCTTGCTATAATCTTTGCCACTGAGTTCTTAAATAATCCAACAAGTATGGATACAAACACAGACATTAAAATAAAATTAATAGAAGTACATAATACCTATGAATAGATGAAACAAAATTACCTAGTATTATATTATATAATACTTTGATTTGGTCTATAAAACCTTCCAAATGTTTTGTATAAAATTATTCATCTATCTATATATTTGATGTTCAAAACAAATCAATTAATATACATTGTGTTTATTAAAAAAATTAAATACAATTAAAATCTTATTGAACTTATTATGATTTTACAAAAGAAAATTTTAATTTATCTTGATTTTTTATTTAATTCATTTGTTGGTTAATAAAATAATAATAATTAAAGACCTTTTATGATTTTATATTATGTCATTGATCTTTTAAAATTAAAATTTCACACACTTTTCAAAAATAATTATATGTTAAAGACTCATTTTATTATAAAATATATATTAAAAATAATTATTTTCTAAAATATTATGATAAATATTTTATTAAATTGAAATTCAAATATTTATTTTAAATAAATATTTTTTTATTAATATTTTATATTATAAATATTACTAATAAAATATTTATTTATTTTAGAAATTGATATTTTCACCCAAAGTTTTATTCCTTCTACCAAGTATCATATTGCACTTACCACACTATAGTTGTTGTTATTGTTGTTGTTGTTTTGTGACTTATTGTATTTCTGAAGCAATTTCGGTATTTGAAAAGAAAACTTTGTGCTTAATCAACACCCTTGTCTAATAAGTTGTAAAGGCATATGGTTTGGACATGCTGCAAAAAACAATCTCCACCATATTAAAGTGAAGTGCACACAAAGAAAATGGGTTGTCTCATTTTGATATTGATCAAAGCAAAATTATCTTTGAACAAGTTATGAAACCCAACAACAATAATGTAGTAGATACAATACAATGTTTGTTAGAAATAGTAAACTCTAGGTAGAAATATCAATCATATATATATATATATATATATAATTTTTGATATTTTAGATTCAAACTTCATTTAAACCTTTAGTACAAATAGATTTAAGTATTTTTTTTTTTTTTTTTTTTATTAAAAGGAACAGTGTTAAATTATAAAAGGAGACTACAAGTAGACCTGGTCCCTCGTGTGGTTGTCAAGTCGGCCAGTCTAGGCGAGATGTTCCATATTGGGGAAGTTCAGATGCCAGAGCAAAAGACTTGGTTGTGGCACCATATTTCGGTGAGTTCTTTTACTATGGCGGCCTTCCTTTCCGAGCCACAAGCAACAGTTAAACTCAACAGGTGGTTACGTCGGGTCATGCCAGCGTAGATTGTGTCCCGCAAGGCCTTGTGGACAATTGCTTGTGGATCGGTTTCATCGCCAGCGAATGTCCTACTACACCGAGCGCACCAGTAGAGGGTGCGACGCGAAGCACGTCGCTCGCCAGACCAATTCGGCGAGGATCGAGTGTGTAGACGTGGAGCGATTGAGTATCTTTTGGAATACCAATTAAAATCTCTTTCCATGATAACAATGGGTAGTGACCAAGCTTGGTCCAGGTGGGGCTAAAATGACGCCTGATCTGGCTAGCGTTGCTGCATGAACTAAGGCAATGGTCAGGGGTTCCAACGGAATCTTGAGCGAAGCAGCCGCACTCACCACGGAAGCCCATGACCATTCTCCAACTGCTGGTAGGGAGACCTCCCGAATTGAGCAGCCGTAGGAAGGCATGGAGTTTGGCCGGCTTGTTGGGATCCCCCGCTAGTGAGCCACTGGGCTGAGCCCCAATTTCCTCCAGCTTCGATCGTATAACGGTAACCACATCGACAGAGGGATTGATCCTCTTAAAGCCAGAAGCTTTCAATGAAAGTGATCGACATTCAAGGCTCCACGGCGTGATTGCAAACCCCTTGGGGCGTTGAATCGAATGACTGTTGGTTTTATAGCGGCTCACATGGCTTCGGAAAGAATGAAGAACAACCTTGGCTCCCAACCGATTGCAACCAATTCCATGATCTCTGATTCTAGAACTCGTCGAGTTCACGACTCGTTGTGCTTCAGCTCTAACTGAGGTCTTATCATGCTTTTGTCGAGTGTTTCCCTGCAATTTTGATTTTTGCTCCTTGTATGTGGGAAATGGTATTTGTTGTGTCCCCATCTTTTCTGAAGTAGGGCCTATTCCCTTTCTTGGAAGCAAATAGAAACTTCGTAGAGTTATTAAGTATTATTTTCTGTTTGTAATTGCCTCATCTTGCTCATGGCTCAACTTCTTCGGCACTGGTTCGGCAGATACTAAATCGCTGCACGAGACCGTCTTCCTCGTCCTCAAGCTAAGCCTCCTCGAATGTTAAGTTGAGAGTGATTCTCTTGCAGTAGTGTCGCTCGAAGCAAAACCAGTTGTGTTTTTGCTGTCATCGGCAGAGAGACTCTTAAGTAGGCGCTCATCTTGGTTTATGGCTGTTGTCTATCAGCAGTTACCCTCGTTAGGGTTTCATTCATAGCTTCTTAAGTCTTATCTGCGTTCATCGTACTTAGTCAGCCTCTCATTACTTTAAGCATGTACTGTTTCTTGGTTAATTGAATTTTTCATTATTCCCTCCAGTCACGAGGTTCAGCTGTTTTTATGGTATCAGAGCATCGGCTCCATCGGACTGAGAGTAGCTTTAGCAGGAGTGCTTAGCACATTCACTGTACTTTGGGAGGATCCGACTCCAAGACCACCGTTAGCAACAGTAGGCAGTTTAGAAGTAGATCATTAGAGTCTCCGGAGAATCGCACCCTCCCTGACATGTCTTCAGGAGCAACGAGCACACACAGTGCTAGATTCGGCGATCTGCTACCACCCGAATCCTACCACCTCACCGGCATGGACAACTACGGAATGTGGGCGTTTCGCATGAAGCATATGCTCAAGCGGGAAGGTTTGTTTTGCTAGTGCACCTCCGCAGTCTCTCCATCACCGATTCCAGCACAAGAAGAAAAAAAGTTGAGAAGAAGCGATGAGTGCCCTCAACAGTAATGCCAAAGATACAGCACTACGTATCATGAAGAGATTTCATGATCCTTACGATTGCTGGACACATCTAAAATCTAGGTACAAGGCAGACAATAATCCCCGAAAAGTTTATCTTATCAATAGGTTTTTTAGTGTTAAAAAAATTAACACAATCAGTATAAATGAATATCTGACGGACATGAAAGAAACAGCCGACTCTCTCGAGGATGATAATGTTCCATTGCCCGAACCAGTAATCGTATGGTACACAGTAAAAAATACCTCCGGAAGGAGTATGACATCACGAAACAAATGATTCTTGGCGACAAACTTCCGTCCTTTGCAGATCTGGAGATGAGATTACTCAGAAATCGAAGACAAGGAGAGCGAAGCACTCTTCACATTTTGGAACGACACGAGACGCTCCTCTCCAGACAACAACATTAGTTCATCCTTTTCTAGATCTAGTCCAGGCACTAGATCATACATTGGACCATATCATCAATCTGGATTGGAATCTGAATGTCCTACCTTTAGACGGCATTTTAATACTAACAATCATTCTCACTCAATCTCGTTTCAAAACACAAGGACAACCCCATACTGGCACAACTTCAACTAGCGCCACCAAATTCACATTCTAGAACGAAACAAAGGAACCCTCGAAGATGACATCAAAGCAATGATGCACAAGCTTGAACTCTTAGAGTTGCCTATTCATTCAAAACTATGCTCACATGCACTAGACAATCATGTCAACAACATCAAAGAAATTTTCAATGAAGAACGATCAGTTAATCCTTGTGATCACATTGATGACACTCCTGACAAAGATCTCTTCCTCTTACAAGTAATGGAAGCATGTATTGCCAAAACACTTTTAGTTGAAACTAATCATATTGTGTTGTCCTATATTGTGAAGTATGCTTGAAAATACAACAAACATCTAGTTGTAGAAGATAAAATAGAATTTGCAATAAGAAAGTTCTAACTCTAATAGAATCTTAAACAAAGTCTAATTAAATCTTAACAATGTAAGTCCATCTTTAATCAAATCCAAAAGAAGTATTAAAGAAATTACAAAAGAAATATAAAGAAATCATAAATTATCCTTAAAGAAATATATATGATAAAAAAAATCTAAAAAAATATGGAAGAAATCTTAAAGAAATATTAAAAATAGAAACTTTAATCAAATCCTAATCAAATTCTATATCAATCCTAATCAAATTCTAAATAAATTCTAAATCAATTCCAATCAAATCCTAATGTAACTTTCAATCAATCCTAATCAAATTCTAAATAAATTCTAAATCAATTCCAATCAAATCCTAATGCAACCTTCAATCAATCATAATCAAATTCTAAACAAATTCTAATAAAATCCTAAACCAATCATAACCAATTTCCAATGAAATTCTAAACAAATCCTAATGAAAGCCAAAATCAATCCTAGCCAAATCCTAATGAGTTTCTAATTCAACTTTAAATAAATCCTAAACGAATCTTAATTAAATCCTAAAGAAATCCTAAAAAAACCCTATACAAATCTAAAAAAATTCAAATAAATCATAATCTATTCCTTTAATTATTTTAAAATCTCAATAAATACTAATCAAATCATTGATCATCCACATTTCAATCTACAAGCATTTAACAAGCACACAAAATTTAAGAAAAAATAAAACTCACCAATCAAAAGAAAAAACTCCTAAACTTCTTAGAAGTTTGCCCCTTCCTTCTCCAATCTGAATGTTGATTTTTTAATAGCAATTTTTTCTTACCGAACTATTCAATTGCTTTAAAAAAATAGCTAGTGTGTAGATTTCTAAGTCTAGATTGCTCTCACTAATTTTCACTTCAATCAACCTAGCAAATTTTTCAAGATCATAATAACCTTCATTAATCCTAAATTTCAAAAATCCAAGACCCTAACCCAATAAAACTCTCATATCCTTCAATCTAATCATTTGATTGACATCAAATTTCTCAAACACATTGAAGTCTAATACAATGACAAATTTACAAAATTTCACTCATAACAATATGCTACAACACTCACACAGTACTCAAAATTTTAAACCTCTTTTTATTTCTCAAAATCTAAAACCTCTAAGTACATCTTTCACTTTGAAAAGCCCTCAACAATTCAATATGTCTTCAAATCAAAAACCTCTCACTTCTCTGCTCTCGGACCTCACTCCTCTATCATGTTACGTTACATCTTCTTCTTCGTTATGGCACCGCAGGCTCGAGCACTTCTACTATCGTGGCATAAGAAGGATGATCACACATGGTGCTGTTCTCAGCCTCTTGAAAGCCACCATCAATAATGATCCATGTGAGATCTGCATCCGCGGGAAACAAACCCGAGCTACAGCACCGAAGAAACGAACCCGTTACACATCCAACATCCTCGAACTAGTACACACGGATGTCGCCGGATCTTTTCGCGTCACATCCTTGGGCGGGGCACGCTATTTTCTAGTATTTGTGGATGACTTCTCCAAACACACCTTCCTCTCCTTCCTCTCCAAAAAGAACAACTATTTTTCCACGTTTCACTTGTTTCATCGAAAAATTCAAAACCGAAGCGGCAACCACTTAGAGCTTTCCGATCTCATAATGACCGAGAATTCCTCTTTTGTGGCGAAGAAACGGGATTCTACAAACTGTAACCAGATGTCTTCTTTTTTATCGCGATCTACCAGGTTTTCTGTGGGTCGAAGCGGTACAAGTAGCGTGGAACCTGATCAACCTCAGATCTTCCAAAGACCGTCCCGATAAAACTCCCTACGAACTCTTCACGAGCGTCAAGCCCAACATCTCTCAACTTCGTGTCTTCAGAATCGTAGTCTTCATCCTCGACACTGCCCCTTCCCACAATAAGTTGGACTCAAGATCCATTCGATGCACCTACGTAAGCCCGGACCTCAACTCTAAGAACTTTTGATGTTATGACCCTTCGACACGCAGAATCCTCCTTTTAAAGAACGTCCGATTTCTAGCTGAATTCGACCCTACACCGATCACTCAACCACAAGAACCAGAAAATATCTCCACTACTTCTGGGATCTCACGACATCCCAATTCTAATCCCTCTTCTTCAGACTTACCAGATGCCTCTACGTCACCAATGAGCTTTATATCACAGGATCAGCAACTTCTGCTATCGAGAATCTCAAACATCTTTCACAACAATATCAGATGACGGATTTAGGAGCTCTTCGTAAATTTCTCGGGGTCAAATTTCTCCAAACCAACACCGAGACTCCCCTTCACTAAGCAAGTTACGTTTCTTCTCTCCTCTCCAAATACAAATCAGTCACCGCACATATTTATCGCTACCCGAAACACATTAACTCTCGCTCAACTCGCAAAGCGGAGTACCGCGCACTTGCCAATGCTATCTGCGAAGTAATATGGATTCGTCGCCTAATCTACGAGATCGGCGTCGGCAACAATCAACCAACGACAGTATGGTGTGATAATCAAAGTGCAATCAGAATCTTAAAGAACTCGGTCTTTCATGACCAAATCACGCATTTCGAGGTTGATCTTCATTTTACTCGACAAAAAATCGAGGATGGTACAATTCATGTTGACTTTAAATCATCTACCGACCAACTTGCGGACCTGCTAACGAAGGCGCTAAGCAAGACCAAGTTCGAGCGGTACAAACCGGCGCTCAACGTTCGACTTTTGTCTGATTTCACTACTGCTACCAAGTCTTTCTTCCTAAAAAAATCTTCAGCCCCCTGCCGTGATCTTAACTTCCTATATTGTGCTCCCCCGTAACCTCTCACCTCCTTCTCACACTCATCCCAAGTGGTATACACGCTCGCATGTCTGCCAACATGCACGGCATAATACCACCGCACTAACGACTTCTTCACATCCATGTGCACTTCTCCGAACATCGCTTCCGGCCTGCGAGGGGGAAATTCCATTTTTTCAACCTTTTGCTGTTGCATTCGTGCCCTCTGACCAACAAACTGACGCTCCATTCTTCAGACGTGACGTAATTTTTGGTATACGTGTCCTTTACCATCCAAAGAATACTCTTGTCCGTCATTGTTGGACGGTTTCCGCTTTCTAGAAACTGCGCCACTATTTCTTTAAATCCTTGAGTTTACTAGCCGCTAAGATGGATCTGGAGGAGGAATTCAAAAAATACTTCGCTGCTGTCGATCTTCGAGAGAAGTTGAGTTCCAACCTGGACAATGACCGTCCTGGTGTTCGTTTTTGCTCTCTTTCTCTCTCGCTGAGTCCCTGGCTGCCTGCTTAGAATTCTTTCGCCAATCGCGAAGCAATCCTCGGGCGACTAGGCAATGTTTGGTATACTCACGTCGCTCGTCCTCAACTCTCTTCCCTATCCATCACGCTGTAAGTACTGCTGGTGAACAATCCATTGTATGTCTCTTCCAGTACTGAAGACGTTACCAGACTACTGCTTTCACACGAATTTCTTGACATGCCATCAAATTGTACAATCGGCACGGCTATTAGTAACCTCTTTGATTCCGGCATATCTGTGAATTCATTTTCGTCGTCAAATCCGCATCTTCTTCCATGGCTGCTAGTGTGTTCCTCCAATAGTTTCCCACTGC